TATATATATATATATATATATATATATATATATATACGTATATATATATTAGTCGCTGTTGGTTTTTCATGCTTTTTCGCTTAGTTTGTCCACTGCAAAGTACTGCGTAGCTGATGCGCAGAAGACATTTGTCATTATTATTATATTATTACTATAATACTACAAATGTTTATATATATTTAAATGTTATTATGAGTAATATTGTTTGCGTTATTTCCTATTATGATTATCATTTTTATTAGCTCTCGTATTTTATTATTTTGTTGTTTTCTGTCGCTGTATTCGATTACCGGCTGTTTTGGAGTTTTTTTCTCCCTTTTGATTTTTGTTTTTCCTTTTGTCCTTTTCGTTACATTTATTTTGAGTTTGCTCTTCCTTTTCTCATACCGCTGTTTGTCTTTTCGTCTTTTGTTTTTATTCATTTTATTTTTATCATTTGCTTTTGCTGCTAATCCCTTTCTTCGCTATCGTTTTTCTTTATTTTTATTGAGACGTTGCCGTTGTTTTGTTCTGTCTTTTTACTGCTTCCTTTTTTGTTATTGTTCTTTTTCTTTCTTTCAGTTTTTTAGTTTTCTCCTTTTATTGTTTCCTTTGTGGCTATTGTTCTTTGTCTTTTCGTTTTTGTTTTCTTTCAGGTGTGTGGAGTTGTGCAGAATTGACAGTCAGCAGTACGGGCGTTGGGTTGCAAATCAGCGAATGAGCGAAGAAAAAGCAGAACTGCTGGAGTTGGTGGCTTGCAGCACCGTTTAATTGTTCTTTTATTTCGGGTGTACAGACCGACAGCCAAAGCGCTCATTCAACGGATGATTATTATAACAAGTTGCAACTACGAATAATGCGCTTCAATTTATATACTTGTGAATGTATTTATGTATTTTCTTGCTGCTTTCTTTCGAATGTCTGTCCGGTGCTGGTCTCCGCACCGGCTGTATTGACGCTGTGGTCTTGTATAGAATTTTTAAAGCAGAGAGCGGCAGTATATGTTTAGAATGTGTATTATACATTATTTATTCTATTTAATATAGATATTTATATATATACATATAAATATACTATACACACAATATGTATTGTATATATTTTAAATTTATATATATAGTTTATACTAGATATACTATATATAGAATATTCAGCGTTTGTTCTTTATATATGTTCTGGATATGTAATATATGTGATGTATAGTATAGTATATATGTATATACACAATATATATGTATATATATAAACTCTATATATATGTATACATATATATATATATATATATATTATGTGCACTATGATGCGCATCGAGATAGTGTCTTCGCGTCCGCACAAAGACATTATGATTATTGTTTGTTTTTCTACAGACAGACATCGTTTGTTCCTACACAGACACACATCAGGCACATGCATACATACAATATTATATATTAGATATGTAATGCATATATTACATATTATTATATATAACGTATGGATTATATATAGTACATGTACTATATATTTTATGTATTATAGGGTCTGTTCATTTAGAGACAAACAATAATATAAATATTGTTTGTTCGTGTACGGACAGACATTAGGCGAGAGAGAACAGAGAACTGACGCCCTGATAGAAGAAAACTACACAACGTCTTTAATATTTTTTTGCTTTTCTTCTCCCGGTGTTGCTGCATTTACTTCTATGGCAGGAATGAATTACGATGACGGCTATACACTGGCTGCTCGTTATAGAGGGATCTGCTGTCTCTGTCCCTCTCCCGCTGTTCTTGTCTGTTGTTGTGTGCTTCATCTCCGTCTGTGTCTCATATATATATATATATATACATATATATATATTATATATGTACATATATATTATATATTCTCTCTCATTTTCTTTCTCTCTCTCCTTCCCTTTCTCTTTCCGTTCTCTCTTTTTTCTCTCCCTGCGTTTGTCTGTCTCTGTTTCTCTCTGAACTTATCTTTTTCCATTCTCTATATCTTTCTGTTTGTCTATGTTTGTTAGTTTGGTATTTAGCTCGTTTGTTGATTTGTTCTGTCTTTATATATCTTCCTCTTGTGTTGCGACAACTTAAACAACTCCTTTGCCTTTTAAAGGCACTAAATTTTATCGCATTGAGTCCAACGTCGTCTGAAAAAAACGCATTGCAACTTCTTATTTCTCTTAGCAGTTTCAGGTGTACGTACAACCCGGCCCCTCCTCTCCCTTCCGCATAACGTATTATTTCTTCATTGGATATGTCGTTCAATATATTAAACGGTTTCGCTGAAGTAGATCAATTAGGCGATCCCTCTTCGTCTTTTTGCTTTCCTCTTCTTTGCACTACTAGCTTTCATAAATTCTGAAAAAAGAAAAACAAATAGACATACAGCGGCGGGAGTTGTATTTGTTTATGATAGTTTGGGTGTAGTACGTACACCTGAATAGAGGAAGGAAGAAAGGCGTATCACTTGTCTCTACATTTTATGTATCTCTCAATTGAGCGAAAGCAACCAGCAGCAGTCACCAACTCGCTTCTTTTTTTCTACTTCTGCTTCCATTCGCTCTCAGCAGTTTGCCTATATAACAAATGTTGAGGGTTGCAATAAACAAATAAAAGGTAGATTATTGTCGTTGCTTTATATCCTCATTTCTGTTCAATGAGGGTGTTGCTTACTACGTTTGCTGTTGCTGCTTAATATGTTTGCCGTCGTTTAATATGCTTGCATTTGTTTAGTATGTTTGCTGTTGTTTAATGCGTTAATTCCTCTTCATTATGGGTCCTGTTTACTGTGTTCGTTGCTGCGGTTTAATATGCTTGTCCTCTATTCATTATGTTTGTATATGTTTAGTTTTCTTGTCCATGTGTTTGTTTTCTATTCAGTATGTTTGTTGATGTTTATTTTTGTTCACTATCTTTGGAGTTGCTTAACATGCTTGCGGCTGTTTGGTGTGAGGTTGTTCAATATGTGTATTTCTGTTTAAAATGCCTCTTTCTGTTCATTATGCTTGTGGTATTCTATAAAAAAGATTTGTTGAGTTGTTGCAAATCAAACGGAAGGCGCCGCACTGCGGCCATGGAAAGGCAAATAAATAGTGAGAGGTTTAGATCTATTCCCTCTACAGGAGAAAAGAGGGTATTTGAGGTGTACATACACCTCAAGCAGAAGCACAAATTTGTTTAGAAGGCGCTGCGCTCGGTGGGGTTGCTGCCGATGTGAAGAGTAGTATTTGCTGTTCGTTGAAGCCACAGAAAAACCCCTACAATGACAATTATATAGAATGCAAGCAGAACGAGAAAAGCACCTGCTACAGTCCTGCCTTTCCAGAACCTGCTGCAAGCACCTGTTGCTGCTGATGCAGCTGCTGCAGCAGCAAAAGCAGCAGCAGCAGCAGCAACAGAGGCAGCCCCTTGAACTCCATTTGCCTCTTTAATTGACCTATCTAAATCGTAATCTCCAAAACTCGCCAGAAAATTTTCTATCTCCGCGTCCACATCCGTCACACACGCCCCAACATACTCCCTCCATGATCTGCAAAGAGAGCAGCAGCAGCAGCAGCAGCAGTAGCAGTAGCAGCAGCAGCAGCAGCAGGAGCAGCAGCGGCAGCAGAAGGCAAAATGCTCGCTAACCAGGCATTGTTCTAGAAACCAAGGAAGCACGATTAATTCTTTTTAACAATAATTGCAGACTCCAGTTTCCAAACGAAATTTAAATTCAGGAACTGACAAACAGAGGAAAAAAGCATTGCTGCATGCATGATTATGTATAAATAGCTATAATATACATATATATATAATGTTTATATATCTATATCTATATATATATATATATATGCATAAGTATATATCTATATATATATACATATATATACATACATGCAATACACTTATTTATATTATGAATATATAATGTAGATGATGTTGTTTGAGTTGTCTCTGCGCGAGCAACTGAATGCAGATTAATTTTTCCTGCTTAAAAAAAGGTGCAAGGGCGAGCCACTAAACGTGTTTGTACATAAAATAAATAAAATATAATTATTTATATTTATGACTAATGTCTGTCTTTTTCCTACTTGCTGCTTTGCAAAGCTTTAAGCTTAGAGCCCTCCATCACCACACGCACCAACCGGGGCTGCAGCGCCTCTGGAGTTTCCTCGGCTCTTCTTGCCTCTTCTTTTGCTGCATGCAATTTATTCAAGTGTTCTGTGTATTGCCGCAGCAATCGCTGCCGCATGGGGCCCTTCAATCGCTCCTTCCTACTGCTGCTTTCTTCTACTTCTGCTTGTGCTGCTGTTGATGATGCTCGCAGTTGCATCCGCAGCTGCTGCTGCAGCCGGCCCTCGCGCCTAGAGTCTGCACTCCCTTGCACACGCTGCTGCTGCTGCTTCTGTTGAGAAGAAGCAAAGAACTGACGATCATCACTCTGCGCCCTGCTGCTGTAACTTGCAGCAGAATCTGAGCACTGTACAGACACCCCCACGTCCCCATTCAACCCTGTTGCCCTCGACAGCCTCAACAAACCACTGTCTAAATCCCCATCAGCGAAATGCACAGTGAAGTGCTTGCTGTTGCTGCTGCTGCTGCTGCTGCTGCTGCTATATTTCTGGTTGAAATGCCTCCGTCTGGCCATGGGGGTTCCGGCAGTTTTGAATCTTCTCTTCGGACTATGAACAGCAACCAGAAGTCTGCCCTTTTCGGGGTCGCTGGTGTCGCTACTACTACTGCTGCTGCTGCTACTGCTTCTGCTACTGCTGCTGCTGCTGCTGCTGCTGCTGCTCGCTTTCGTCGCGCGACGCCTGAATGGCCTGCAGGGTTTATTTGCTTGCTGCAATGAATATTCGCTTTCTGTGTATTTCTTTTGAAGGACTCCTTTGCCTGCCTGCGCTGCTTGTGGCAGCTCCAGTGGCGGTGTTTGCCGCAGTTGCTGCTGCAGCTTCTGCTGCAGCAGCGCATGCGAATCGCTGTGTGCCGCTTCTGGCTTGTTCCATTTGCCTGCATCTTCTGTGCTACTGCATTTTAAATCTGGCGAGACAAGAAGAGAAAGAGCAGCAACGGCGTCGTTAGCGGGAGAGGGGTGTGGGGTGCTGGGTCGCGAGCTCCAGCCTGCAGCTTGGCTGCTGCTGCTGCCGCTGCTGCTGCTGTTGCTGCTGTAGCTGCTGTAGCTGCTGCAATCGCTGGAGGGTAACGAGGTGCTGTCGCTGCTGCTAGCTGAGTAAAGTTGTTTATCTGCAGTGTATGGACAGCTACCAGACGGCTCCTTGGCTGCGTGCAGCCCGGATAAATTCAATTTGAATGGTTGCCCGGTGTCGCCTTTCTCTTCAAGTGAACGCAGAGGTGCTGCTGTTGTTGTTGCTGCTGCTGTTGCTGCTCTAGCTGCTGTAGCTGGTGCTGTTGCTGTTGCAGGCGTTGTTGTTTGTGTCGCAGTTGCTGCTGCTGCTGTTGCTGTTTTGCCTTCGTGTACAGGAACTGCCTGAGAAGAAGACTTTGTTTGTTTAAATGTGAATACACAATTTGCTGCATCGCAAGGCGAAAGGGTGGACTGTGCTGTACATACACCTGGAGGCCACTCCAGTGCTTCATTTGTTGCTTCTGCACCCTGCCACTGCCAGTCACTCTGACTGGAGCTTTCTATTGCTGTTGCTGCTGCTGTTGCTGCTGTTGCGGCTGCCGAAGCCCCCAGAGAGATAGAGCAAGCTGCAGCTCCACTGGTTTCTCTATTCTCACAAGTTTTTGTTTGAATTGCAGCCGCGTTTTCTGTCTGGGCTGAATAAGCAAAGGTAGACAGACACCGCAAGGAAGACGAAGCCCTACCAGCGGAAACAGCACCGTAGTCTGCAGCAGTAACTGCGGCAGCAGCAGCAGCAGCTGGAGCGGCAGCAGTTGGAACAGCAGCAGTTGGAGTAGCAGCCGCAGCAGCAACAGCTGAAGCAGCAGCACCTGCAGCAGCACCTACACTCCCAGGTGTCTGCGCGTACACCTCAGACTCCCCACATTGTGTTTTCACTCTCTGTGGTCCTCTACAATACTCATCAAGAGCATCAAATGGAGTAATATCTGTAGCAGCAGCCAACCCGCCCGCACTGGTAGGGCAGCGATTCCGAAAAGAAGGATCCGCTGGCAAGCTATGCTGCTGTGGCTGTTGTTGTTGTTGCCGCTGCGGTTGCTGCTGCTGCTGTTGCTGCTGCTGCGATAGCCAGCTGACTGGAGAAGAGACAGAATCGCTGAACGGAAAATCTGCTGGGGAAAGGAGGGTGTGGTGCTTCTGCTGCCATTGCTGCTGCTGCTTCAGCGCCAGTGGTTGTTGTTGCTGTTGTTGGTGCTGCTGTTGCGTTTGGTGCTTATGAAGAGGAGGTGCAGTATTTGACTGAGGGGGTGGAGGCAGCAGCAGAGGGGAGCTGCGGTCTTTAAGCTCTTCTCTTTTGTCTGTGGGGTGCGCAGCAGCAGCAGTAGCAGCAACAGCAACAGGGATATTTTTGTGTATTTGAATAGACTGATCTGGAAGGCCAGCGTGGCGGCAGCGGACAGCAGCAGGAGAGGAGGGGGGGGCCTCAGGGTCTTCTACATCAACAAAGTAAGAAGAGGAGCCCCCGTCCCTCTGCTCGGCTGCAGCCCGGCAGAGGCCCGCCCATTCCATGCTGCTGCTGCTGCTGTTGCTGCTGCTGCTACAATTGCTCCTGCTTTCCCGTCTAGTGCTGCTTTTGTTGCAGCTGTTGCGGCTTCTAGGGCTGTTGCTGCTGGCGCTGTTGATGGTGCTGCAGCAACAGCTGGCGATGCTGTTGCTGCTTCTGTAGCTGCAGCAGATATTCTTGTTGCTGCTGCTGGCCTCACAGAGCTCTTAAACTAGTAGAAAAGCCGGAAAAAGGGGGAAGGGGAGATAAAATGATGCTGAAAGGAGAAAAGGAATCCGGGAGAAAACTGAAAAGAACCTCCACCTGCTGGATGGCGACGGGGCCCAAGCAACGAACGCCGCGGAGAGGACTTTAGAGGAGAATATGCAAAAGGAAAAGGAAGAAACATAACTAAAATATGCAAACCCTAAACCCTAAACCCTAAACTCTCGGGTTTGGGCCAGGAGAAATAGGCCACGCCTTAGTGATGACTGTAAAGGGAAATTGCCATTTTAAGCCCAAAACCCTAAATCCTAAACCCTAAACCCTTAACTATAAAGCCTGCAACATGGCTGCTGGCTTTATAAGTGTTTAACTGGGGCCATCGATTTTTCCGATGCCGCCACTTCTCCGTCTTTATTGAGAAACAACTAAATGAAATCCCCAGTGCATTTCCCTTTCGTTATCTACAGCGTATGCATGCACCTTGGGGCATATATACACTGCAAATCCTGAAAAGGACGCATGCATGCAATTCTAGAGAAAATTCCTAAAACTCGTTGGGCGGCGTCGAGGCTGTTCTTCGTTGCGGTGGTGTGAGGGGAGGGAGGGTTCGGCAAAATGGAGTGGAGTTAGTGAAGAAGAAATGAGTAAGGGAAGCAAATAAAGGCATAAAAAGAGAAAAATCAGTAAAATGGCAAAAACCGTCTTCGAGTTCCACTGTACGCACGGCTCCCGCGGACAGCTAGCGAGGCGGTGTAAGGAAAACAAGGGCTAATTATCAGAAATAAATGCAGAAGCAGTTTGCCAATAATTAAGGTTTTGCATTTCAAGGAGCAGGAATTAATTTAATGCAATAATTTCTATTATTTAGGCTGAGCATCAAACCGAAGGGCAGCCACAACCGCCCACGCTACCGTCGAGATCCGGCGCCACACTGCAGTGAGGCTTGTTCTGTTTGGATGTAATTTTAAAAAGAAGATGCTTTAAATGAATAAATAGATGCGATTTTCTTTAATTTATGGAATGTTTTGGAGAAAATGCGCAGTCGTCTCTTCATTTTTTTCATATACCTCTGGCGAGCATCGCGCGGGCGGTGAAGAGATAGAAGGATAAACCACAAAAGAAATTTGGCTTCTGAATACCAAAATAAATTGAATTTTCTCTTTACGTTTATTTAAATAAACACAATACCTGTGTACTCATATAAATTTTAGCCCAGGGTCGACAAGCCCTTCTGGAACGCCCCCCGTAATATGTATGTTTTGAGGTGCAGGACAGGGAAGGGAACGGCAACGAAATTCAGCGTTCGGCGGCGAAAGCAAAGGAGAAGTTGTTTTGAAATAATTAAAAAGAGAAACAGAATTACTATAGTGCTTATTAATAGACGAAAAAGGCGGAACCCTCTCCTTCCATACCTTCATACTTCCAAATCAACGTTGTACAAGGAAGCATCTTGCAGGGAGAACTCGATTGATGCGCTTTTCGATGAATTTTTGAAAAATGACTTAAATATTGACTTAGAAATAGCATATTTATGAAGAAAGCAATCCAAATAGGGTTTTGTTTCACATTTTAGTTCCTGAGTTGCAGCTTCAGGAAAGCAACGCACTGCAACGGCCCATTCTTTAGAATGGATAGAATTGAAAGCAACAGCTTTCCTTCATCAACAAACAAAATAAACAATAATAATCATATTTATAGTAATTGTATTAATAATAATAATAATCTGCATGCATTGTTACGGCTCTCAAATAAACTTGACGATTGCATTTCTTCGTTTGTTTTCGACTCCTCATACGGGCGGTTCTCTTTTCTCTTTGCTTCTGCCTGTGAAACGATATGATTGCTTTCTTCTCCCTTAGATAGAGCACAGTTGAGATGCAGAAGAGAAATATAATACATTTAAGCCCCAATCCTCCCCACCACACACACACGCGTGCATATTCATACACCACTGGTGTTGCTTTCTTTGAATTGTTCTATTTACGAGCAGCAGCAGCTGCATTCCCTGCAGCTACAAAAACAGATATTCATACACAACTTTCTCTAAGCTGCTAACTCTGAAGGGAAGTCTTCTGATTATTATTTCATGAAGATGTACGTACAACGAGAAAAGGAATAATCAGAATAAAAGGAGAACGCCGAGACTGCTGCCCCTCTACTGCAGGAAAGCACTCCTGAACACCAGCAGGTACTGCGCGCAACTCTGGAGCGTAGAAGCAGCGGAATCTTCTCATGTAAATATATTTATTTTTGCTTTTAGAGTTAATTTCATCTTTCTGCAAAAGAAATGATAATAATAGGTGGAGATTTCGCGTTCAGTGTTAGTTTAGGCGTTGAAAAGGTCCACCGGTCAATCGGTCTTGCATTGGATCGAGACAAAGCATGCGGGCTAGAAGAGTAACAATAGCAGAAATAATAGATAAATGTAATAATGTACTTACATTTAATGCTTTAATTCCCCTTTTTTGATGTTGAAGTCGCTGAAACCTCTTTTTTTCTCCCTTGCTTCGCGATGATGATGCGGCTGCTGCGGCAGCAGCCCATGGCTGCCACTAGGAGATGAGGCTTCCCTCCTTCTCGTTGTGTTTCCTGTTTTTCTCCGACGATTTCACTGCGCTTTAATGCTTTTAATTCCATTTTAGTACCATAAAGTATACATTCATCCTTGAGTTTCCCTGAAAACTCCGCGAGATCGGTCTTGCAGACGAGCGGCTCGGCTCGCGGCGTGCCGCGCACAGATTTTCTGCTGCTTTTTCATCTTAAGTGCTTTTCAGAATTCAGGTTTCAATTCAAAAGTGTTTCAGCAACTTGAGCTTAGCTTTGGCGCTCATTATTCAGGTGTCTAGACACGTCAGCACCCGCGGCGTTCAGTTCTTGAATCTCACCAATTCATTATTTAGCAGAGATCCAACGACACGCATAAATTGCTGCTGTTGTGGGGGCCAAGCACAAAATCATTGCTTATTAGTCAATATATATTTATTCTTTTGTTTATTTTGCCCTTCTTGACCTTTTTCACGTCCCTTCTCCCACTAGACATCTGAGTTCATCTTCCCTTCCAGCCGCTTTCACCTCCCTGGCCCACCTGCCATCTGTATTATATCTTTTCACTTCGTTTTTCGTTTTTTCTTTTGCATTTATTTCCACCATGCGTCCGCTGCGGAGTGCTGCCTTTCCTTGGGCGGCCCCTTTGCTGGGTTTTCTTTCGGTCTTCCTCTTAGCTACAGTTCAGGGAGTTGTTGTGAAGGACAAAAACCTTCACCGCACCAACTCAGAAGCAGCAGCAGCACCAGCAGCAGCAGCAGCAGATGTGCCCCCAACAGCAGCACTCGTTGCAACCCTCCAGGTATCCGGCAACTCCAACCCATTTCTGGAGCCGCCTCTCGCAGATTTCATGTCCCGGTTTGACATCCCCAAGAACCACGGTGAGCGGGATATCTTTTCTCCCTTTGTTTAGGGGGTTTTATTTTGTATGGAAGCAGTCATTGTGTTTGCTGCTGCTGGAAGATTTAGTACTTCGCCGTGTTGTGTCGGTGCTTCTCTGTACACCGTTGGAGTGGCCAACAAACCAACAAACAGCCATTAAGACAAATCAAACGAGAACACAAACACACTACTGTTGCAGCAGCATCCTCTACACTCCCAACGGTCTATGAATGGAGGGAGGCGGCACCCCGCAACAATATGGCACAACCTGTAGATCGTAGGGTTTAGAGCTAAGGGTTTAGGGTTCAGGGTTTAGGGTTTGGGTTTGCGCGTTAGGAAGCGGGATTTACGTGGATCTTGGTAGCGAGAAGGAAGTAGATGGACAGATGTACAGGGAGCCGAGTGGGCGGTGCCCTGTCTTTGGGAAGAACATTCAGCTGCATCAGCCCCCCAACAACCCTCACTATAAGAATGATTTTCTTGTAGATATTCCTTCAAAAGCGGAGTCTGATGCAGCAGGAAATCCCCTTCCTGGAGGATTTAATAACAGCTTCAAACTCCCTGATAAAACGCCGTACTCCCCTATGACTGCAGCCAAACTAAACAGCTTCTCACAGTGTGCGTAGACATTGCACATGCAGACATTTATTAAATTCTGTTCGGTATATTTCGCGGGGATATATACACTGCATAATATGTATGTATATATATAAAGTTGTATTTATGTATAGTGGGGAGTATACATACAAATATTCGTATATATATATTATATATATGTGTATTCAGACATGCATACACCCCATGGCCTATATATATATATATATATATATATATATATATATATGAGGTGTGGTTTTTGTTTCAACATGCAATGGGCAGCAGCAGCTTCGCACTTTGTTGTGTTAGTGGTTTGGCGTTTATCTTTTGTCGGGGTCTCCGTTTGTTCGTTTTTTTTCTTCTTTCCGTGTGTTCCTATTAGTGCATACATACACCTACAAATGCATGTAGATTATATATTAATATTTCATATATATATACATTGTATATGCATGCGCCTACAAATATATGTGCATTACATATGTTAATATTATTATAACATTATATATACTGATAAATAGATGAATATTTCTGTTTCTTTTTTTTGTCTTCAGTGAAGGCGAAGACTCCACTGGGTCGGTGTGCAGAGTTGAGTTATAAAACAACGGCTGGACGCAACTCTCTTTATCGTTATCCATTTGTTTACGATACTCAGAAAGAATTATGTTATTTCTTATTTATACCCATGCAGAGACTCATGGGAGAAAGATATTGTTCTTATGAAGGAAACCCTCCAGACTTAACTTGGTATTGCTTCCAACCTAAGAAGTCGCCGAGCCTCAGACCCCAACTCGTCTATGGATCCGCTTATGTTGGAGAAAACCCAGATGACTGGGAAACAAAATGCCGTGCGTATATATATATATATATATATAATATATATAGGCTGTTTCATGTATAGGCATTATATATATGTATTCATATACACGTATGTACGTAAATGAATAATGTAGAAAATGTATGTATTGTATGCGTGCCAGTATCATCCATCCTGTAGAAGCGTTGGCCTATTGATGTTACTTTGTCAAAGAGCTCTGTGCACCCACAGCTGCAGTTAGAGAGCAGTAGAAGACTGTTGTGATGTATGCATATCTGCATGCGTGCATGTTGTTTTGGGGTGTATTTGTTAGTTTGTCTACATGCATTATTATATATCTCATGGGTTGCACGAAGAGTATCTGATTTCTTGTTCTTATGTTGGGGCGTACGTACAGCAAACAAGGCAGTAGCAAACGCTGTATTCGGAGTGTGGGAGGGGGGAAGATGCCAAGAGCATAGACGGCGCAAGGGGGCGAAGAAGGAGAAAGTTAATTCTAAAGAAGACTGCTGGATTCTTGCATTTGAAAACCCTGGAGTCGCCAGCGATCATCCCGTCACTGACGACGAAAAAGTCGGAACTTTGGGATATTATTTCCCAACTGTTGAGGCCAATCAACCCAAGTCCGGTGAGCAGACGCAATGCTTATATATATATATATATATACATATACATATATATATATATATTGTATGTTGCGTGTACACCTCAGTTTTTTGCGGGGTGTATAGATATACAGACACGGGGACCTGTTTGGCTGTTGATGTGATTTTACTTAGGAATGTTTTGGTAGTCTCTAGGACAGTACACCTCAATGGAATGCGGTGTATGGCTGCGCCTACAGGGCGTATATATAGATACATTACATATATATATGTATGTATGTATTTATATATATGCATATTTGAATGTATACAGGAGGCGAGGGTGTGAACTATGGGAGTTATTATCCTTCATCGAAGGAGTGTTGGTTATCTGACGAAGTGCCGAATTGTTTGGTGCCAATGGACGGAGCCGTTGCATACACCGCATTAGGAGGTTTAGACGAAGAAGCTGCCCCGTGTACAGACAGCTTCCCTCCTACATCTACTCCCTGCGACCCTTCGACTTGCACAATTACTCTTACTTCTTGTGTTAATGGTGCTCTTGTCTCCAAAGAAGTAGCATGCCCAGCAGAAGAAAGCAACGTTTGTAAGTACACACAAATAATATACATGCATACATACATGCATACGATTAAAAAACCCTAAACCCTAAACCCTTAACACTACGCCCTTTATAATGAACAAGAGGTGAGATGTATATGTGTTTCATTTGAAGGCCTCTCTTTATCTTCTTCTCTTTCTTCTTCTTTCTTGTTGCAGGCGAGGGTAGTCGGTTTTCTGCGGTTATGATTGGCCTCGCAGCAGCGGGTGGAATTCTGCTGCTGCTGCTCGCTGGAGGAGGGTTTGCTCTCTATCGGTAAGTCTTTCTTTCTGCCGGTGTATAGGCAGATATACGTATATATATTATATATACTGTACAATATATCTATGCATATATGCATAGATATACTGTACAATATATATGCATATGTATGGCTAAACATAATTAAAAAATAAGTAATATATAAACATATATAGATTTATTTATCTATGTTATCTAAAGGCATGTAAGAATAAGTAAATAGGTAAATGCAAGTATATATGTATATATATGTATATCTAAATATATATATATATATATGTAAATATTGTTTGCTCCAGAAGCAGACGGGGGCCTGCACGGAAGGGCGAAGAGGCAACGCGTTCAGATTACGTACAGGAAGAAGCTGCAGCAAATAGAAAAAAGCAAAGACAATCAGATTTGGTGCAGCAAGCAGAGCCTTCATTCTGGGGTATGTACACCTCAAATAGATAGAAGAAGACAATCGAAACGATATTCATATATTTATTGCCTGTCTATGTACAAATTCATAAAGAAGCGGAGTCAGAAATGCAGGAATAAACATAATAATAAACAAAATATAATTAAGTAAAAGTGTTTATATATGTACATTCGTAAAAACTTATTCTTTTGTTCTGTTTCCTCTACCTCTCTCCGTTCTTTTTTTATTTTTTTGTATTTGTTTGGTTCGTTTTGTTTTGGGTTTTGTTGGTTGTTTAAAAGCCGCTGTTTGTTTGTTCCGGTCTTGATTGCTGTGCTCTATGTTTGCTTGCTTTTATTCCTTTGTTTTCTTTTTGTTTGTTTGTTTGTTTGTTTGTTTATTCTTTTTCGGGGTTTGTTTTGTATTATTTAAATGGATTTTGTTGTTTTCTTTTTTTGTTTGTCTTCGTTTTACTCTGTTTTTATTGTTTTATGTAGTTGTTTTCTTTTGTATGAATTTTATATTCTCATTTGCTTTACCTTTGTTTATTTTTTTGTTTTTCTTTGTGTATTTTCATTTAATTCGTCGTTGTTGTGGGGTTCGCGTTGGTTAATATTTGTTCTTTTCTTTGTTTTTTGTGTTTTTGTTTGTTCTTAGAGGAGGCAGAAGCAGACGAAAATGAGGGCGCGGAGAATACTCACGTGTTGGTTGATCAAGATTATTAAAAAGAAGAAGAGGAGAAAGAAGAAAAAGAACAAAAATAACGAAGAAAACAACAAATAAACAGACCCAACAAACACAGGGGCAGGGAGGTTCAGCAGACGTGTTGTTTGCTGTCGCTCTCTCTCGCTCTCTCTCTCTCTCTCTGTCTCTCTGTCTCTTTGTCTCTGTCTATTTCTGTATCTCTCTCTCTAACTCTACCTCCCTCTCTTTGCTTCTTGTACATGATTATTGCTTTTGCGTTTCTTCGCATCCTTTTCAACTCTTGCATGCATGCATGTACTCTGCGTGCATGCATGCATGCATGTATGCATGTATGCGTGCGTGCATGCACTTCACATGCATGCACTCTGTATGCATGTACTCTGCATGCATGTGCTCTGCATGCATGCATGCATGCATCCACTTTGCATGCAGTAGAAAAATGCCCTTTAATCGCTGCTCTTACGGGTTGTAAACCGGCTGGCATTTGTGAGGAAATTGAGTTTTCAGGTGTATGTACACCCCAGTGCTGTCATGCTTTTCTAAACCCTAAACCCTAATAAATAAACCCTAGCCTCTGTTGCTCAAGTATTTTGCCCCTTTCTTCTTCCGTTTGTCTCTCCGCTTGCTTTGTTGCTGCTACTGCTGCTGCATTTCTTCGCAGCAGCAGCGGCGTCCTTCCTCTTGGGGCTTTTTGTTCGTGTTTGCTGCTCCTGCGCATGCATGCAGCAGCAGCAGCAAACACACATGCAGGTTCCGTGCCGTAGGGGACTGGAGCTATGAAGACAATCTCTTCCAAACAGTAGCAGCAGCGGCAGCAGTAACAGCAGCAACAGCAGCAGTAGCATTAACAGCAGCAGCAGCAACAGCAGCAGCTGCTGCTGTGCACTGGGTTTGCAACAGCACCAGCGAAGAGATGCCCTCGTCACGAGATAAGGAAGAAGCGCCTTTTAGTGCTGTCTTGCTTGCTGCTTGCACGCAACAGATGCAGCAACAGCAACAGCAACAGCAACAGCAGCAACAGAAGCAGCAGCAGCAGCAGCAGCAGCTGCAGGAGCAGCTGCAGTACGAGCAGCAGCACGAGCAGCAGCACCATCTGCAGGTGCAGTCTGTTGCGAATTGGTTTTCCTTTTACTTCTTTCTTTACTTTGTTTCTGGGGCCCCCTGTGTTGGGAGACAACGCAGACGTTAGTTAGTGGAGTTTCAGAAGATTATTATTTTAATCATTTAAATATAACATTTAAATAGTGTTGATATGAGGATAGAAGTAAATTAATAAAAAAGTTAAGGCAGCCCTAAAGCAAGCAAATGGTGCCGTCGCCTATTAAGGTTTAGGAAGTCTATATATACATATATATATATATATATATATATATATATATTTACATATCTGCATATAAAGGGAGGAAGGAGGGG